TCACTTTATCTGCCAGCCCTTGTTTCTCCATTTGATGAAAGCCAGTGTCGCGAACACAACCGTTGCCTTGTTCATGCCCGAAAAGAATTCTGGGTAATTCCGCCATAACTCGAAAAGGCAACTCCTATCATTTCCATTTCAAAGAATTATTAGAATCGTGTCGGGCCATCCAGTCCTACCAGCAAAATATCGCATCGATTGAAATTTTTACCGGTCAAAACTTGGCCACATAGCCTTGGTAGGTCCTGGAAGCCATCCACAGATGGGCCCGAGAGACAACTTCACTTGTGAACTCGCCAAGCTGGCAGTAAAGCATCGTTGGCGGTCCAGTCTACATGAAACCATCTCTCACCTCTGTTTTCCTTCAGAGACTTGCCTCTACCCACATTCCAGCTTAATGATGCCGTCGGGAGGGCTTCTGTAGAGGGAATATGGCTCGAAAGACACTTATAAACGGCCAGAATAGCGAGAAAGCGAATCGATTTGAACGCATCCAAACACGAACTGTTGATCTCGGTCATGTGACTCCCAAGGTCTGAGCCCATAGTATCTCAAAACCGCAAATATTGTAACGGATGCTCCATATAAGGACCAACGAAGTGAGGTTAAACACGAAGGCGCGCTATATGAGGAAGTCTTCCCTGGAAAGACCTTGGCTCTTTTGTCACTCACCGTTGACGTGTGCGGATCAAATTTAAATGCTGGTAGACGAACAAAAGGAGCTAATGAGATATGTATTGTTTACTTCCACCAGCATGGGGGCATGAGGTAACGTGCGAACCACCTAGTTCGATCTCAAATTTACCGCCACAAATATAGACAGTTTCCATTTGAGAAAGGAAATACAAATTTCAAAAATTCTTGTATTGTCAGTAATGAAGACATGAAACAATTTTGATGAATTCGCCCGCTGTTCACTGCTTTGGAGTAGCTGTAGCTAAAGCTGACTTGACTCTAAGAGTTCTACATCACACGACGGTTGACTGACAAATGGTCCAGTGGGACATAAGGCTCCCTTTATTTCGCGCCTCCGTGTTTAAGTTTGTATCGCCAAATTACAATTGAATAAATATGGTCTATTTCGTATTCAAAGGGTTAAAGTTTGAATTTTGAAGTCTGTCGCTTTCA